AATACACTTCCGGGAACCGACTGGCTTTTCACAGAGGTATCACGTTTTTCTGTACAACACCAGCGGATGTAACTGATCACCTGCGTTTTCTTACAACACTTCCTGGTTAGCGAATGAAACGATAATCCGGAGACTTTTCCCTCGTTTTTCAACCTAAATGCCAACCGCTTCCTTGCGTATCTGCACAAGACGTAAGTAAACGTAATCCTTGGCTGTCGCAGTTGTGAATATGAACACAGAGAAGGACTTTTCGCCTCTGACGCCCAACATTGTCAGGGCACTGAATGATAAACTGTATGAGAAGAGGAAAGTCGCTGCTCTAGAAATCGAGAAGCTGGTCCGGGAGTTTGTTGCTCAGAACAATTCTACTCAAATCAGGCATGTGATTCAGATTTTGGCATCGGAGTTTGCTCTTTCCCAGCACCCTCACAGTCGGAAAGGTGGCCTCATTGGACTTGCAGCCTGCTCCATCGCACTGGGAAAAGACTCTGGTCTGTATCTTAAGGAACTTATTGAGCCTGTGCTCACGTGCTTCAATGACTCAGACAGCCGTCTGCGCTACTACGCCTGTGAGGCCCTCTATAATATAGTCAAGGTGGCCAGGGGGGCCGTGCTGCCGCACTTTAACCTGCTTTTTGATGGTCTCAGCAAGCTGGCAGCAGATCCAGACCCCAATGTGAAAAGTGGATCGGAACTCCTGGACAGGTTGCTCAAAGACATAGTAACAGAAAGCAACACGTTTGACTTGGTGGCATTTGTCCCCCTGCTGAGGGAGAGGATCTACTCAAATAATCAGTATGCCAGGCAGTTTATCATTTCTTGGATCCACGTGCTGGAGTCTGTGCCAGACATTAACTTGTTAGACTACCTCCCCGAGATTCTAGATGGGCTGTTTCAGATCCTGGGCGATAACAGCAAGGAGATCCGTAAGACATGTGAGGTGGTCCTGGGAGAGTTTCTGAAGGAGATTAAGAAAGCACCCTCCAGTGTGAAATTTGCTGAGATGGCCAACATCCTTGTTATTCACTGTCAAGTTGCAGATGAAGCCAAACTCACTAATGATCTGATCCAGCTGACCGCTATGACATGGATGAGGGAGTTTATCCAGCTTGCAGGCAGAGTGGTGCTCCCTTATTCCTCTGGCATCTTAACTGCAGTGCTCCCTTGCCTTTCTTATGATGACAGAAAGAAGAATACCAAAGAAGTGGCAAGTGCATGTAATAACAGTCTGATGAAGCTAGTGACTCCTGAGGATGACGAGGAAAATGAGGAGGAAATAAGTGGAAGTGGGTCACCATCCATAGGAGAGGGCCAGGCCAAAATGGAGGGGGATAGCAATGATATGCTGAATGCATCACAAGAATCTGTAGGTTTTAGTAATATTAGCTTCTTCACCCCAGCAAATGCTGACAGACCTCAGGTAACTCTGGACCTAGATGGCATCGTACAGGTACTGGGCCGCTACCTACACGACTCGACTACTGGCATGATGACCCGCATAGCTGTCCTCAAATGGCTTTATCACCTCTACATTAAGACACCACGCAAAATGTTCCGTCATACCGACAGTCTTTTCCCCATTCTGCTTAAAACACTGTCTGATGAGTCTGATGAGGTGATACTCAAAGATCTGGAGGTGTTAGCTGAAATAGCTTCGTCGCCTGCTGGCCAAACAGAGCAGCCCTTCTCTTGTGACAGTGCCGACAACAAACTGGTCCTCAAAGTGCCAGAGGGTCCCAAGACAGGACAGCAGCCCAGCACAGGCACCAAAGCTGTGGACTCCTCCCCCTCCACTCCCAGCATGAACTCATATTTTTATAAGTTCATGATCAATTTGCTGAAGCGTTTCAGCCTGGAGAGGAAGCTTCTGGAGAACAGAGGAGCTTTCATCATCAGGCAGCTGTGCCTGTTGCTTCACGCTGAGAACATCTTCCACTCCATGGCTGACATCTTGCTGAAAGAGGATGACCTGAAATTTGCCTCCACTATGGTTCAGACCCTCAACACCATCCTGCTCACCTCTGCTGAACTCTTCCAGTTGCGCAATCAGCTGAAAGACCTGCATACTCAAGAAAGCTGTGCTTTGTTTTGCTGCCTGTACCGTTCCTGGTGCCACAACCCTGTGGCCACTGTGTCACTTTGCTTCCTCACACAGAACTACAAGCACGCCTATGATCTCATCCAGAAGTTTGGAAACCTCGAGGTGACCGTAGACTTCCTGATGGAAGTTGACAAGCTGGTGCAGCTCATTGAAAGCCCCATTTTTACCTACCTGCGGCTGCAGCTCCTAGACGTGGAGAACAACCCATACCTGATTAAGGCTCTGTACGGCCTGCTGATGCTGCTGCCACAGAGCCAAGCCTTCCAGCTGCTCTCCCACCGCTTAAAGTGTGTTCCCAACCCAGAGCTCATGAGAACTGTGGATGAATCTAAATATATAGACTCCAAACAGCCGGCGACGTGCAGACGTGCCTCTCACAGTCAGGTAGATTACAGTGAGCTGCTCCAGCATTTTGACCTTGTTCAAAGCAAACACCTGGAGGTCCGACACCAACGTTCTGGGAGAACCTCTGATCACCACGACAGAAAGCTGGTGTGAAGTTTTTGTGTCATAGAGACCTTTGATTTTTGGGAACGGTAACAGCTTATTATAAGTGTATGTGTGACAGGAGTAATAAAACACTGAACAGAGCTAATGTTATCAGGCTAATAAAGTATTAAAACATATAATTTTGTCAGTTAAACACTTGGTGTACACAAACAGCTGTTTCGACATTCCAACTACTTGTGAAGAAAATGTAAGAAAAATATTTTAAATGTAAATTATGAATTGCACTTAACAATGTGAAAATGTCAAACTAATACTTTTGTCTTTGTAAATTAAAATGTGTAACAAATAGTTAATTACAGCGGTTTGCTTGGAATTTAAGTTGAGTATTTTTGTAGTACAGCTTGTGACGCAGCACTAATTGAAACCATGTGATTGTGGTCTCCATAATCTCATGTCAGAGGAGTGTTGACTGAAATTAATTCTGTGCAGACCCATGTTATTATTACAGACCAGAAGTTTTAACTTGCATAACTTCATTTTTTAATTTTGCTGCTTAAGTGTGTAACAGCATGTTTGTGTGCACTGTTTTATTCGTTGTGATGTTTGTTTTGCACTCGTGTTCATATATAAAAATCAATAAAGTAGACAATGTAACCAAAAACATTTTCTCTCATAGCTAAACTTCTTTTAAATAATTGTTTTACATATTTTTTTTGTCATTTTTAATGATCAGATTTTGGTATTATCTTATTACCGTAAAATCTCCACAGATATTATGATCTAATAACACAGTATTCTCCTTAATCCAGTGTTGTATATCACTTACTGGTAATTATGTGTATGTGTTCACTTTAGGAACAAGTATTTACTTTAAATGTGTGCTAACCATACGTTCAAATAGTTCACAATCCTTAAAATCAAGTGACACAGTTATAAGTTGTAAGGTTTTATTATAATGTAATTGACTCCAAGAATGCATGAGTTAATGCAATCAAAATACAGTCAGGACAAAAATAGTTCTAGTTAAAAAATTAAGTCAAGTACAAGTAATAATATAACACTAATACATTCTATGTGCCCCTGTATAAAAGAAAAATATAATGTTAGGATTCCAGTTTGTTCTCGGCTTTATTAAAAACACTGCTGAAAACTTAATTTACATAAGTTTAGTGATTTATGGTGACCCCAGAATGGCTGGGGGTCTCTGCTGCAAGACAATCCACAATTTAACATTCAAAGTACATGAGACTATAAACGTCCTTAGCTGTTAAACCATGTTATTCAGGGATAATAAGGTAAGTAGAATTCAAATAACAACATACGCTCCTTTGAAAATAGGTTAATGTCATGTTTTTTTTTTTAAGCTTTAATTGGAATTTGCATACTTTAAAAGTTAAAGAATGCGTTTGAGGAAAAAATACTGCAGTGAGAGTTTTCACACGAGCGCTTCCTGGGTTCCCATCAACACAAACTATTTTTGTGCAGCAGTCGTTAAACTAACCAGCACAACAACATACTGCGTTACAGCACAAACAAGTTCAGATTTTGGTTAAATACTTTAACTTTCAACACAGCCACACTACTGTAAATCCACTTTGACACTAGTTAAAGAATCATGTGACTTATTTCTAGTTTTGAGCCATTAATAGTTTAAGTCCCCCACTCAGCTCCCAAACAGAAAAAAAAAAAAAACATGAGCAAAACATTCAGAAAAATGAAATCTGCTAAAAAAAAAAAAATCACCCCTCGCTTTTCATACCTTCACTTTTAAGTATTAATTGTATTTTCTCTCTTATGTTGTGACTGGTTGTGTGTTTAAAACATAACAGAGACTCAAAAATGTCAGCATCATTATTTCGCTTCGACTCCTTTAGGTTTATAATATTTCTGCTGATCTACACAAACACAATCTCTTGCATGTAAAGTGAGATTTATCTTATTTAGAAGGGTGTTTATTTGAGAACGTGCAATGATCATCTGCGAGCTCAACACAACATCAGATTACAGGAGATATGCCTTTGGGAGCTGAAGTATTAACACTTATTTCTGAGGTTAAGATGAAGCCTGCCAGACAGGAGGGTGGGGCTTTGAGCCTGCCTTTTCATCCAAGTGCTGGGACAAAGTATGGCCACCAGACGTGCTCGTTCTGAAGATGACCTTTCCTGTCCAATTTGTGGACATATTCTCAGTCAGCCAGTAATCCTCACTTGCAGACATAGATTTTGCAAAGCCTGTTTAAAAAACAGCTGGGACACACAAGACTGCAAAGATTCCCACTGCTGTCCTCTGTGCTGGCGACGTTCCTCAATGGATCAGATAGTGGTGAACACCGTGCTGGAGAAGGCCTGTGAATCCTTTAAAGAAGACAGGAGCAAGAATGATCCAGAAACTTGTAAAGAACATGGAGAAACGCTCACACTCTTCTGTTTGGAGGATTTGGAGCCTATTTGTGGTGTGTGCGGCAAAGCAGCTGCACACAAAGGGCACAGACTCTATCCTGTTGGGGAAGGTGCTCATGATTGTAAGGTAGGTATATCATCACAAGGCTTGTCAAAGCACTATTTTACTGTTTTAATTGCAGTGAAACGTTGATATGAAGTATTGTGAATATATTGGAATAACAAATCTGTTTCCCTGTTCTATGCCAATGACTTCACCTGCAACAAATACTGACAGGATCATTGTTAAAATATCTGCCACAGTGTTTGAACGTTGGGTTAATAAGTTACATGCACATCCCCACGGAGTGAAGGAAGTTTTTCTGTGTGCGTAAACATACGAGCAATTATTTTATTAAGAGCTTGTTGTTATAGGGGAATGTATTTGATACGTTAAGCTACTTTTGCACTTCTTAGTTTAATACGCTGATCCAGTTTGTGAAGAGTTTATCAACACTCTAATTATAGATTTATATATTTAGTTTCCTGCTGCTATTCAGATCCCGAAAGAACCGAAACTTGACTCCCACAAGGTTTTAGTGACGCTACATTCAGTATACCCTGCCTTCTCGGGAGGTCAGAAACATGAAGCACTAATGTCAAATTCATCTATTGGTCGTTGCTGCACAAATGCATGGATTGTCAGAATTATCTGTTTTGTTAATGTTTCCTTTAGATTTGTCCCTTGATACTTCTGTTTTGAATGCTTTGCATTTCCATGGAATGCTGCCGTCTGACAGCTGAAAGCCCCACTGTGCTGACAGCTTGGACGCCTGCCAGACCGAGCTTGTTGTAGAGTTGATGCCCTGTCACTGATATTTCAGGAGGAACTGAAGAGCGCATTGCTGCCCTTGAAAGATAAGTTACAGCTGTACAAAAGAGCAAAAACCATGTGTGAGGAAATGGCAGAACATGTCAAGGTACTCTCGATACCAAACCTTACCTTGGACAGTAAGAGCCTGAAACGCATGTAAAACTAACAATCACGTCTCATTACAGAACCAAGCTAAACACACCGAATCACAGATTAAAGAGGAATTTAAAGAACTTCATCGATTCCTGGAGGAACAGGAGGCTGCAAGACTTGCTGCGTTAAAGCTCGAGGAGGATCAGAAGAACCTGATGATTGATCAGAGGATTGACGAACTGAGCAACGAGTTGACATCTCTCTCCAACACTATAAAAATAGTGGAACAAGAAATGAAAAGCCATGATATTTCATTCCTTAAGGTAGATGAGATGTTAACTTTACGCTCATGTTTTATGTGATGCACATTTATAACGTTTTAAAAAGTTGCTCTTTTTTCAGAATTACAAGGAAACAATTAGAAGGTAAAATGGCTGGTACTGTGAAATACACAATGTTTACGCATAATTCTCAGAACCTAATATCTCCAGTATCTTTTCAGAACTTGGCAACGTCCTCTTGACCCACAAATGATGTCAGGTGCTCTGATTGATGTGGCCAAGCATTTGGGTTCTCTGAAATATAAAGTATGGGAGAATATGAAGAAAATTATTCAATACGGTAAGTTTTATGAATAATGTAGCATGTTGAACTTTTTTTTTTTTACAAACACGAGTAACTTCTTTCTTGGTTTTTCCTTAAGCCCCAGTGATTCTGGATCCCAACACAGCAGCTAGCTGCTTTATCCTCTCAGAAGATCTCACAGTCGTGCAGAACTCCTTGCAGATTTTCAAGCTGCCAGACAACCCCGAGCGCTTTGACATTAGCGCAGAGATGCTTGCTGCAGAGGGCTATTCCTCTGGACGCCATAGCTGGGAAGTGGAGGTGAACGGCAACACCTACTGGGTTGTAGGAGTCGCCAGTGAATCCATCAACAGAAAGGGCAAGCATGTGCTGACACCTGCAGAGGGATTCTGGACTATAAGATATCGTAATGGCGAGCACAAAGCCTGCACCGCACCATGGGAGCCACTCAACATGAGTAAGAAACCAGAAGCTATTAGAGTGGTTTTGGATATGGACCGAGGCAAGGTGACATTTTATGACCCCAGAGAAAGAACACCCCTTTACACCTTTGAAAACATTATTACCCTCAGAGCCTTCCCCTACTTCTGTACTGCTTGTAAAGAGCATCCCTTAAAAATACTAACAACAAAAATACATGTATCAACAGACAGATAATTTCACTTGAAGACAGGATTTATATTGTATTTCTTATAAAAATATCTATTTGTAGTTTGTGAAAATTGTTTTTTGTGTGTGTGTGTGCATGAAATGATTGTAGGAAGTATGAAAATAATAATGAACGCAACAAAAAAGCCGATGTAAGCTGCTTGCATTTAAACTGTTATGAATAAATTACATAAAACAAATGCATTTTGAATTTGTTTAATTTGAGTTACAACAAAACAAAAGAATCTGAGCTTGTAAATCACAACACCTAACACTTATAAGATTTGTTACATAAAATGACAGTCATAATGTGTGTTAACTTCTTTCCTGATATTTATATTCATCTAAACTTCCATTAAAAGCGTAAAAAAATATGACACACATTAAGTTTAACAGAAGGCACATGATACTGTGCACATTTGCAAACCCTTGCCAGTGTTGTTTGAAGGATCACACACATTAGATCATCTATGTATGGCATTCAACATTGACATTAAAGATCCTATGGCTAGCTTAAAGTCGCTGTGTTTTTGAACTAGCAGCTATTTATTCTGCATATTTAAATTAGATTTCTCACTCTCTTTAAAAGAAGCAGGAGTAACACAATAGTAACATTTAAACCTACACGTTAATAACCTAGCAGCTCACAGTATTTTATATAACAAAACTTTAAACTTGATTTATATTCTAAAAACATTAATGCAGCATGTATCTTGTTTTGAAATTAATTGTGGAAGAGTTCCACTCTGTGCGGTATGCTCAAAGGCTTTATGAGTTCATTTAATAATTGAAAAGCAATTAATAAAGGTATCAAATGCCCTCGCAGCACATCCTAATGTGTTAATTAAACAGTGTTGAAATCTCATCTGTAACAGTATATCCTATGTAGTTTTCTCAGATCTGTTCACTGAATGCTTAAAACCCAGAAGTGCAAAAAGATGTACTGACATAGATGTAAATAAATATGCAGACATAAATGTTTGCATATTTCTGTCTCTCTCAACAGAACCTGTTTAACTGAGGCACTGGTGGTTTCCTATATGCTTCCCACATCATAAAGACATTCTTCCCTCTATTATAGTGTTGTAGAGCTCCTCGTTCACGGCCTCGTATCGTGCAGATCTATTGTTCAAAATGTAGATCTGGTCAGTTGTGAGACGTGGGTCAAAACCTTCTTTCTGCAGCCTGGTTTTCTGGATTTTAAATGTACCTATTTACATATATAAAAATATATGATATTTAATTCATATTAAATTTTAAGCTAGCATATGGTATGCGTTTCCTATTTAAACATCATAAATTAGTGTGTTACTTCACCTGTGGTGTCAACTTGTGGGGAGATTCGCAGGAACATGGGGCACGCGTAGGAAGGAAGCAATCGCTGAATACTTGGCAAGAAACTGTTGCAGTCAAAACTCCCCGTAGCATCTGCAATGGCAGCCATGCCTGCCTTACCTTCCACACCTGGAGCAAAATTTGGTGATAAAAGGAAATTACAGTAATGGCTCCAATATGATCCTGAAGGCACTTGAAGAGATGGTTACAAAGACAATCACCTGGCACTGCCACACCGTACACAGCCACATCAGTTTGATCCAGAAGATTGCTAAGTATACCCTCCACCTCCGTCGTAGAGACGTTTTCTCCTCGCCATCGGTAAGTGTCCCCACTGCGGTCACGGAAGTACATGTAGCCAAGTTCATCCATCACTAGTACGTCGCCTTGGGTGAACAGAAAGTGGGTTAGCTTTCAAATTTAAGTTGAAAAATAAAACTACACTCACATAAACTCTACAAAGATCTAGCAAATGAAGTTTGCCGATGAAACAGTGCATTTATTTATAACTTTTTGTCCCAAATTCTTTGTTTTATAAAAAAAGAAACAATCTTTATCTTGAACTCAGGCTTGTATACATGATTAAAAACAAAAATTGTGAGCGTTACTAATAGAACATAAATGTGTATTAAAAAATGAGACCATCTACCTGATAAATATGCTAAATCATTTTTCTTGAAGACATTTTGAGCGATCTTCTTCTTTGTAGCATCCTGGTTAGCATAGCCATCAAACCGCCGTAATGGATCCTTCTGATTGATCTTACCTACCAGAAGACCTGGTTCCCCTGCACAGCAAGAGAGAGTCCAATTCATTCTTTAGTCAAGTTTCAGGCAATCAGCTTTATACAAAATATAGACTACCAAACTACTTCAAAAACAAAGTTATCATTGCAGTAAACCACAATAATTACCAGGGCGACAAGGCACACAGAGGCCCTGACTGTCCCGAATAAGTTCCATTGTGTCTTCATTCACCTTCACCAGGCGAATGGGGTATACGGTGGGGATAATACGGCTGTTGAATCCACAGGCACCCACCTAGAGAACACGAGGTAAGCTCGTATCTAAATCATATTTATTTTGTTTATTAGCAAAGATTCAACAACGAATTCCAACCTTTCCATCCATGTTAGCAATGCTGCAGTTGCACTCAGTTGCTCCATAGAACTCGCCAATCTGCGCCACGCCAAATCGCTCCACGAAGGCTTCCCACACACTGGGCCGCAATCCATTCCCTACTGCCAGACGAACTTTGTGGCTCTTCTCCGCTGGTCGGACTGGCTGAGACAGTAGGTACCGGCAGATTTCCCCGATATACTGCACCACCTGTAAAGAGAAAGGAAAAAAAACTACTAAAACTAACTAAATATTGCTTCAGTGTTTCATCAGAGTTTCTGATACAAGTTAATTGGCTCTTACAGTACAGTTGTACTTAATGCAGTCATCCCAGAAGCGGCTGGCAGAGAATTTCTTCTTCACTACCACAGTGAGGCCATGGACAAGACACTGACCAACTCCAATAATATTACCTGGAAAAAAGATGAGGCTTTATTGTATTTAAATCTAATCTAATGTTCTTATATGATGCTATTAAAAATTTGTGGGTGAGCACTGCTTACCTGCCGAGTGATAGAGCGGCAGGCAGTCATAGAGAACGTCATCAGGACGCATGCGAAAAGCGAAATGCCCAAAAGCAGCAATTCTGTAGTACCTGTTGTAAAAAACAGGAGCAATTCTTATAAGTTCTCATGCACAGTAACTGAACAAGACTTTTAGGTGAGTGGCTGTTTAAGAAAACATACCGACTGTGCACTACAATGGCAGCTTTGGGCAGTCCTGTGGTTCCAGAGGTGTAAATGTAAAACAGGCGGTCTGCAAAAAAGGAATACAGAAGAACATGACAATTATATTTTATTGTTTTAAAATGTCTCCACAGATTTTAATAAACATTAAAATGAATCAAAAGAATAACAGAAAATAGCTACTGTCCTCACTCTATCTTGTGCTTTTTAGTGATAACAATAATACTGTGCATTTTATTTGTATAGCGCTTTTCCAAATACTCAAAGACGCTTGATGGGCTCAGCGTACAGTCTGACTCACATTTCAAAATACACATTTCTGTTTATTCATCTAAGACGAACAACTGTTTTTTTCTTCCCCTAGCAACAGTGAGAATGACCTTGAGCATTTTCACATTACCAGTACTTTTAATTTATTGCCAATTAGAAACTGTGACAAAATTAAGACTCAGCTCAATCTGATGGCTTCCTTCCTTAGATAAATAACTTTACTAATTAGCATTTATAATATATGTGAATGGTTTTTGTTCCGTGCCCTGAGATAACTTCTGTTGTGACTTGGCGCTATATAAATAAACTGAAGTGAATTAGAAAAATTGATCGCATTCATTTGGAAATCAACACTTAAGAATCTTGTGTGAGAGAGACTCAAAGTATTTGCAAACAAAAAGATAGTTCTGATGAAAAAAAATGTAGATATGTGATAAAAACAAGATAGTAAATATTAGTCCTATTCAAACCTGGCACTATCATGTTTCTGTGAAGATCTGTTCAGTGGATTAAGACTGAAAAGGCATTTATAAAGGGCTCTGCAGCCTTTTTACCTTTACCTTCTTTTGACCATTGGATGGCAGTATAAGACTGATGGATAGTGAGGGAGCGAGCAACGTGTATCTTTAAGAAAAATGGGAGGGAGGCCCCTTGATGTGACATGGGCTGGCTGACTGAGGTTCTCAAAATGGGGACGCTTGGTGTTGTTTGAGCTCTTTAGCATTTTTCACACAAAGTTTTTGATAAAAAAATCAGAAAAAAAGTTTTCAGCTTCTTTTTGCAGAGAAAAACAACTTTTTACACAAAGGCACGGGTTTCAACCGTAAATTTTGAAGTTTTGACAAGACAAGAGTTTTTTTCCCGAAGTCGGACTTTTAGCTTAGCTTGTAGCTTAGCTGCTTTTAACGATCCAAAAACATGATTTTGGACGGTTAAAACGGATTTTAAAGAGAAAGGGAGGGGTCATTGAAGAGCACCGGAGTTGGGCCTTTTGTCATCCAGTGTCTTCAGTAGAAAGAGAGAGACATGAAGCAACGATAAAGCCGATAAATAAAAACGAGGTAGATAATTTTCATTTATCGTGCGATTAATTGATTTATTGTTTATCGTGACAGGCCTAGTGAAGTTCCATAAAAACAGCTGAGACTGCCAGTGAGCCATCCGAGTTAACGTTTCAGCAACATTGCACCAACACAAATCACCACCTTTCCAAAAAATAAAAATAAAGTTAAAACAACCAACCAAAACAACTGGACTTCTATTCTGAACCTGAATATTGAAGCAAATATTTTGTTCAGCTTCAGAATAAATGTTTTGATCTTTAACTTATTTTGGACTGACTATGACCTCCACCAGCAAATCATGGACTTGTTTTATCATTTATGCCACTTTTATTTTTTTCACATCATATCTGTAAGGGTATACAGTTTAACCAAATTTTTGCAAATAACTTGCACTCATTTATGTATGAAATATGCTCATGTCTAAATAATGATACAGTTGATGCGACTGAAGGTATTTGTGATTTTTCCAGTAACATCAGCATATTTGTTGAAGTTTTCTTTTGATGCTCTGTTGACTGCCGACAGTTTTACATCTACAATCTCTTTATTTGCATGCAGGGCGGGAAACTGAGATCTGCTCACTAAAAACACATTTTACTGCCAGGTCTCTAATCACTCATATTTAGAGCTATTCACTTGTTATCTGATCAAACAGGACATCTTTAGAACCAGGTGTGAATGAGCATATTGAGGACATATATAGATCAAACAACTCCGGCCTCTTTCAGAAGCAGTCTTGAACACAAATACCATTATTTCACTTCTGCCATTATCAATTAAATGACAGTAAATTCAAGCGAAAACATTTTTTTTCATACGGTAGAAGAACTGACTCAGAAAGGAGTTGTCTGAGATTGGAACCACAATTAAATGTCCACTGATGTACAAATGCCTCCTGCTCTGTCAAAATAAACAGAAAATCAGCTAAACAGACAATGATTTTAATATTTTAATTAAACAGAGATATTGCAGTCAGAATTAATTCAATTAAATTTTCAACATTTACTTCAGGACTGGGCAATAAGTCTCTCAAAAACAATATTGCAGCTAAATCGACCACAATGATTTGAGACATTCAGCTAATAAATCAAGCCAATGAACAACCTATCCCTAAGAATTAAAAAAAAGTAACAGAATCAAACACCTTTACAATTTTGACCATTTATCCAATTTCTTTCCCTGCTTTTTCTGTGCAAGGTTGCAGGAGAGCTGGTGTTTACATCCTGCTATCATTGTGAAAGAGGCGGGGTACACCCTAGACAGATCGCTAATCCATCACAGGGCCACATAGACAAACAAGACGACAACCACACACACTCTCACTCACAGCTTAGTTACCAAGTGCATGTTTTTGTATTCATGTTTTTGGTCTGCTGGAGGGAGCTGGTGCACTCAGAGAAAATTCACTTATACACAGAGGACATGAAAACTCCTCACAAGAAGACTCCAGGAGACAAACCTGTGACCTTTTTTTCTGTGAGACGACAGTTCTAACCACTTCACTGCAAACACGTCAATTCATTCCTGCAACACGGTAGTTGAAACTCCGATTTGAAAGGGATATATTGTTTTACCGTAGAGCTAGTTGCAATGAAAAGATTGAACTGTTCTTTTTGAGTGACGAATGACTCGTTTCACCTGGCACACAAAGTCTTGTCTGTTACACAGTTGCTGCCAGAGGGCTTTTTGATGCAATATTTAATAATGTTTCACACCTCCAACTAGGATTTGTGTGATTAAAAAAACAACAACATTTATTACAACTTAAAAATATGGTAACAGCAAGGCACACAGCAAAGACCTCATACTACTGAATTACAAAACTATAATAAATATAAGTAAAATTAGCTGCATATGAATGCAGCTTACCAACCAGCAAATGGCTTGAATAGTGCACATTGTGAGCAAAAACATGCCCACCAGCTGACAAAGATGTGAATGTTAGTCAGACATACTTAAAAGGTATTTTGTTGCTTATATAATGATGTGCCATCTATATATAACTGTAGATAGTAAGTACAAATAGTTGAAACTTAACCTTTTACACACAGGTTTGCATGTTTGCAGGAATATAAAATTAGGATTGATTGCTAAAGTTATGGATTTTATGATTTTTTTTCCTAATAAATAGTCAGGTCACCATATATTTCAACTTGATCCAATAATCAGTCCTTCTGACCAGAAATTAATGATAAATTAACACATTTTCATTTAGATTATTGGAAAGAAAACAACAAAATCTCAACCTGGAAAGCCATAACTTGTGCTAACAAATGGGCTTTGCAGTTACAGTAATAAACTGTGGGCTGGCTCTATTATACTTCTTTGTAATAAATTTCTCAGGAAGCAGAACTATACTTGTTATTTATGTTATAATCTGGAGATAGGCCAATGATGTAAAAGACAGTAAAGTTAGGGTTAAGTTACAGTTTTTTATTCAGTATTTTATTCAGACACTGATTCAGAACCCAAAAAAATTAACACAAAAATTGATGTAAAAAGTTGAGCATATCTGTAATAGAAATCAGGCCCTGATGTCACAGCGCTTTGGATTTGAGTTGGAATCGTGATGTTGATGGTTACGGTAATAAGCTCCAGCTAAAAACAAAACGGGCCAGTGAAAACAAGCTGTGTGAGTCAATCAAAACAAGTCTTATGAAAAAATGGGAGAAAGGGAGGTGTATAGTGATAGGTAGTGAATGGATTCTAGGATCTAGTAATTGGAGGAAAAAACCTACTAAAAGTTTGGTTTATAAACAACCAAAAAAATCTGACAAGTGATCCTAACAGCTACACTGCTAAAAATGATATATTTTTCACTATTTTATGTATTTTGCAGTCACAAATCACCTGATATACATGTACAGCTTACATATGAAGTTACAAATCTTCAAGATGGCAAACCACAAATACAGTAAACCTCCTAAGGGTATGTAGAGTCAACCCTGTCTAATGATCTGTCTAATAATCTGTTATGCATCTCTCAGCACATGTATTTAATATCAACTGTCATAGTCTATTGAAGCTAGGCCACATAACTAAAGTGTAGAAATGTTATTATTATAAAGAAATTTTACTGTGTCTGAACTACCAATGGGCAAATATACTCTTTGCTCATAAATTTGTAGATAAACACTTTTGTTTACTACACTGCAAGACAATAGTGAAATGTTAGCTGGTTTTGAGAAATGTGTAATAACCTGTTTTATGATTGCATATCTAAATAAAATAAAATAGGAACCATAAGAGGATACAGAGTAAACAGCTGCCTGGACTTGGTTTCTACTACAGATTAAAAATGAGCTGGGTAACGTATTGTGCAGGTTATGGCTGCAGTATGATGCCATGTTTTGAGCCCTACTTACCACTCATGCCTTTGCGGGGTACACAAGGTGTCGGGGCATGTCTAGATGAAGTGGCTAAAAGAGGATCCAGAGGCTGAGCACACAGACTGGCCAGATGTTCAGCACTGAGGTCTCCGGCACAAAACCGTACCATAGTCTGGCTGACGGATGAATTGATCTCCAACATGGCTGACCAATGAGAAATGAGAAAAAAAGGGTAATTAGAAGGAGATGATATAAGTTATTAGCTCAAAGTTGTAAATCTAAATTCAATATAATATGTAAACAGCACTTTTTTTTGGTTTTATCCTATTTGTATTTGGCTCAACCAAAATGTTTCGTTTTTTAAATAACATTGTTTTTCATTTGTTCTCAGTTTGTATGCTTTCTTTGATGATTGTCTACTGTTGTCATCACTCTTTGTTAAAATCAGGTGTCTCTTGTAAATGAGTCCCAGAGCTCGATGGGACTAACCTGTATATAAATAAAGGTTGAATAAAAAAAAAAAAAAAAAAAAAAAAGAAGTTGGATGTTGTTTGTGGAGTTGTAATGTTATCCAACTTTAGATGCCACACGATGAATTCCTGAGGCGATGTGATCACACAGCAGGTCTATACACGTTAGATATAGCGAACATCAAAGTTTTTGTTTCACGTACTGACTGAATGAGAAATCACATTCTCAGGCTGACCAACGGGGAAAAAACAGTTTAATGAGAAATATGAAACTTGGGGTGTTCTGTTTTTCAGCTGCAATGGAAATACAATTATCTTATTCTGTCATATGGAATTCCAATACAATGTATTCCCTTTATAGATAATTACAACATGAACTGATATTTCTCTGCAACTGTCATCGCCTTGTTTAGCACATTCTTACCATCGGCAAGCTCTGCTCCAAACACAATCGCCCGTGACCCTGATACGCCAAGGCAGTGCAGGAGAGAATCACAGCGGAGACTGAAGTTTATAAGGGCCGCTTCCACACCGACTTTGGCTAAGCCGAGCCAAAGTGCCACATACAAGGGCCTGCTTTCCAAAAAGAGAGCCACCACATCTCCAGGAACCCATCCTTGACCTCTTGCCCAGTGGGCTACTGCATTGGAGTACTCGTCCAGCTGGATAAAGGTCCACGTTTCCCCTGTGGCCTCATAGATCAGTGCTGGTTTATTCGGGTGGAGTTTTACTGTCTGGGCGAAAATGGAAGGGATATTGCTTCCATTACGCATGTAACGCCATAAGGCCAGCTTCACTCTCAACAGCACATACAGGCCACTGACCAAAGAGGGAGAAGAGGAGAACACATTTAAGAATACAGCTTCCCAACCATATGCATCCCATCTTTATTAGAACAGTTAACTTACTTGAGATCTCTCTTGGCAGTTCGTGCTGCAACATAGAAGTATTTCCAACTTCTTGTGCCCAGATATAGCCCCAAGCCTGCTGCCAGACTCCAGGACCAGGACACCCCAACCAGTCGCAGCAGTCCCACAGACCCCAGAGAGGCTGACACACTCGCTGCATTGTGCATTCTTTTTACAGAGTGAAGGGAAGAAAGGAAGGGATTTTACACAATAACGGGCTTGAAATAAAGCCTACATGGTTTCCACTTAGTGGACTGAAGTACTGCAGTGCAGACTGGTACACACAAGTACACAGAAAACGTTATAACTTTACAATAATAATAAAAAAACTCATTAAAATAGAATGCGTAATTGATTATTAATACACCTATAACAAAAGAGTGGAGCCCGCGTAATGAAATTATCACATGCTATGCTAAATAACATTAGCTCTTATCGCTAATTTGCAAATAGTGTACACAACTTAAACTTACCTGGCTACGAGTCAATAATTTGACACGATGTCAAGCACCCGATAAACCCGACGGTAGACAAATAAGTTACTTATTATATTTTCACTTAAGCTTTCAAATTGTCCTCCCGCTGGAAAAAGCGTCGAAAGAAATAAGTAGCCTTTTGGGTGAAACCAAGAGTTTAGAAATGTTACAAGTTTTGTTTTCAGCGACGCTGTCAAGTAGTAGTTTACAACATTTGAACAGTATTATGGGTTAGCGAGGCAAATAGTATTAAATATAAAATATATACAAGGTTGCCCTAATAACGATAATCTGTACGGTAAAAATTAATAAAAAAAACCCTAAAGAAAACTGTAAGATTCGGTGATTCAAGCTATTTTCTGTACTCCATGTTGAAGAGGCAACTGTCTTTCGAAGTCCCGCCCATCCCGGGTGTGAAACTTCAAAGCTGATCAGCCATTGGTTTAATTTTAAGTCCGTCAAACGGTTTTCAATTTTGATTGGTCAATATTAACCCGGCCCGATTGCTCAACCAACCCATTGGTAGCTGCTACTGAATGTAGGACAAATCCTCAGGACACCGGCTCAGACTACTAAATGTTGAGAGATGTAGTTTCAAGTGCATTACGCATTCAGTCCACACAACTGTTCAAACTCCAGACATGCTCAATATGTACTGTCAAGTCCCAATAGAAAAAAAAAACCATTAACAAATTTTATACGTGTGCATTTCCTTAATTAAACACATTAAAAAGAGAAAAAAAAAATCAAGCTTTCTATCTGCAATGACACGGCCATTACATTAAGGTCTCTCTGCGACTGTCTATAAAAGAGGTGCTTGGTGTCCTGAAGTTTTGGCTGTAGACACCACAGCAGAGCCTTGAAAATGTTGTCCTTCTTATTAAGATGTACACCCAGGGGTCCAAGATCTGATTCCAGGTGACCAAGCGTAAGCTCTGAAGAATAAACCCATTTTCCTGGTTTTTGGGACCCCAGTGGAGCTGCTTCATAAGAATGTTGATCTATAAAGCAAAAGGAACTTACAGTATTCATTCACATTTAATAAGCATATATCTACATTGAACCTAGTTGCAAATCTAATAATGCAAAACGAATATAGATATTAATTTAAACAAATTGTGCAAATTAAAAAAAGTAGTACGCACAAGAAAGGGGCCCCAGCAGACACAGGACACCACAGTGACTCCTGCCAGTTGCACCAACATCTCCACTTCCAATGAGCAAAAGACGGAGGATGAAGTTGATGTAGAAGATGCACGGCGAGAACTTCGAGCTGAAGGATTTGCATAACAGTTTCCTGACTCTAACTTGGCTTTCAGCAATGGCAGGCCACTCAGGATGTTGCAAAGCAGGGACAAAATGAGTGCAGTGAGTCCCAGACATGAGAAGGCCAAAACTAGACTTTTGTCAGCTGTAGTCTGTGAGCCTTGAATAGGCAAAAAACACCATGTGCCAGGATATTGGGTAGCATATTTCCCCACAGTGAAAACAGGTAACAAAGCGAGCATGAGCGCAGAAGAGGTAAAAAGTAACACCACTCTCTTCATATGAGTCAATGTAATGGAAACATGAAGGAAAGGTCGATTGATTGCCACCCAGCGCTCAACTGCCATGGCACAACCCAGCAGCAAAGGACACAAGCCAAAAAACACCATACTTGCTCCAAAGGTATTACAAAAAGGCACGCTGGAATTTATGGATGGCATTTTATACCTCGCACTTATGTGTCCATACAACGCAAAGGCACCTAGGATGAAATGTCCTCCTAGGTCAGCCAAAAGTAAAGCCACTGTCAGCAGAAGGAATGAAGCTTTGGACTGGCCTCGAAATCTGCCACGAGACATAGCCAGGATTCCCAAAGCAGTCAGGTTAGAGACGGTACCAAATATCATGGTGAAGCAGGACATCAGTAAATCTAAAAGTGGAGGGGAATGTGGGTTGCTGCTAGTGTTGTTGCTGGAATTGGACTGTAGTGATGAGCGATTCAAAAATGAGGTTGCAGGTGCAGTCATCATCTTTGATGGGATCTGCAGAAAGTCAGAAGTTTAAATAAAAAAAAAAAAATTAGTGCTAATTTACTGATGAGAAATGCTTTTCTTGTGTTTTTAATTATAACTTGTTCTGTTCTTTTAAAGGGTTTTCAAATTTAAATGAAATTGAAAAATGAAACCAAACTGTGTAAAAATAGCTCAAATGATCAGTGTACGGTAGGTAATAAGATAACTTAAAGTGAATTATTTTTCACCACACACAAACACTGCAAGCTGAAAACACGTGCATGCGTATCATTAGTTTGGATTTTTATTTATGTTTTGGCCATTAAGGTTTAATTTTTAGCAATTTGCATACATTCAGAACATGCAATGGAATATTCTGATAATTATGGTGTCATTTCAGTCATATCAGCACATTTAATTTTACATGTGACTTGGGCAAAACATGCCTTTCACAAATAACATGTATACCATGTTTTCACATATGGAAAACATTTGATTTCTAGGTGTGAAGTTAACTAAAAAAGTCAACTAAAAAGTCACAGGTAAAATAATACATTGTTACACCGGTTAGCTGCAGTGCAACAAAACAGTGTTTGTTGTTTCATAATAACATTTTTTTATCAAATGAGGAAATCATACCTTCCAACGAGACCGCCTCAAAGCAACAATGTTGATAGACTTGATCTGGAATTCGATTAGAAAATGCAGATCAAAGCCAAAACTTCCCTGATTGTGATGTACCAATACCTTGAAGAAAACATAAAAATAAAGATTAACACTGCAGATACAATTTGAACCAGTTCGTTTTCATGATTTTAAGTGTCTCATTCTGTTAGTTATTTCTTTTTTTTTTTTTTTAAACTTTTACTGAGGATGCATATCTTCAAATTGTAAAAATGATACCTTAGGAAACATGTCTTAAATTATGTCTTTACAATGACTCACTTCTTACTTTCTGAATATCTTTATGACAATCACTTGTCATATGTAAAAGAAAGCATTTCATTCTGAAACCAAGGGACTTCATAATTTCATACAGAATCCATGGATTATATCCAGAACAGTGAAAACATAAATTGTTGGTTGAGATTACCATTAGAAATTCTTTAAACTGACACTAAATACCAGCAATTTCTCTCAAATGTCAAGGTTTTGAATTTTATTTTCCTTTTACTAAAAATGTCATGCTTTCCACAAAACAATTAAAGCAAATAAATACTTTGTTAAAATGGGTCTCCTTCTTCGTATTCTTTTAACACCTAAATAATCCGGACATTTAAATTTATCTCCAAATTCTAGTGTTGTCCAAGAATAAGGACGGTGCACGCATTTCATAGTTTTTCCCCAAGAGGCGTGTAGTAGCCTGTTCTTTACGTGTATGCCAGTTTCACGGCTGTCTTAACTGTTATCTCTGGAGAAAGGAATGCACCGACGTTAGTAATGTCAATCAGCACTAAATAAATTAAGAATAACGCTTACCTTCAGATGACACTGGACGAACAGTTTTGAGATAGATCAGAAATACAGAGAGGATGAATACGTCTCTTATCAAAGCTGCCCTGCGTGCCCAGTCAGTTATCACGGTTTCCTGCAATCATTCGCTTTTTGTTCCCCTCCCTTTGTTTTTGTTTAGCCTCTCTGACAGTTTTGGTTTCTGCCTGGCCCTGCTTCCTCTCTCGCTCTCCCTGGTGTGCTGCTCTTTTATTACTGCATTTACTCTCCTCCCCGGTTGAACGTGTTCCTTGTTTTATTGATTCCTTCTGCTGATGTTCTGGAGCAAAGTATTGATTGACAGTCATACACAGATTTAGTTATTATAGTTCTCATCCCCCTTCACTATTCACTATTATAGTTTTAAATTCCTAAAAACAAAAACAGCAAAACACCAACAACAATAAAAATAAAAGCAAATCATTTAGCTGCATCAGTGAGATTCTCCTATAAACCAATTCAACAGATCAGAGAAACTTGAGCAAGCACAGCACTAAATTGCTGCCTCAAGGCTTCTCTGGCATACGATCATGTGTCGATTCAGATTATATTTGATGACTACGCATGTGTATAAAATGTTTTAAACGAGATCATACACAACAAAGCGACTTCAGCAGAACCCAAACCATAATGAGATGATTAAATATGGGATTCTGTAAGATTTACTAACCCTTCTAAAAATGAAAAAGCCAATTCCAAGTTCAAGTTTTTCTTGAAAGCATCACCTCTTTAACCTACATGAACAGGAAGAGAGTCATTTCCTGTGAACTTGTGAAACTGATGTCAACCTCACCAAGAGAAAATACAAGCCAACCAATCAGTGACATTAAAAATAAGGCACATGTTATTTATTTGACATAAACACGAAGACAGATACAAATATGATTTATAATTATTCTTACAGAAAAATAGGTAAACTATTAACTTCAAACATTCATATAAAAGTCCAAATGTGCAATAAATATTGCTTTACAGCAGTACTAATGTTCCAGAGGACATCAGATAGTCATTTTAAACAGATTTTATGACAACTTGATAAAGATACAGTTCATGGAGCAGCATGGCAAGCTACAGTGTCCAGCAACTTATAGACAAGCAAATGTTCAAAACATACATCTTTAAATACTGTTCTGGTATATTTAGGGTCACATGCAGTTTAAAGATTGCTTCCAACAGAAATAATTCTTGGATCGTCCAATGTGACTGAATTAAGTACCTGGATGAAACAACATACAGGACCCGATTAAACAGGTCCTTAGAATATTATTGCAAATTTGATTCAAATTTTGTGCATTAATGTTTTTTTTTCTTCTTTTTTTGCATAAAAATATTAGGTGTAACTTCATTTTATTTAGAAAAAAACCTATACAGATTTAGTTATTTGAGAAATTTTCAGAACAGAAAACCTAAAACAATACGTAGACACAGTCACTATTTACAATACGTTAGAATTCAGGAAAATGGTGCAGGTTACAGAAAAATACAGTTGTCAACTGAACGTTGAAATGTTTGGTAAAGCTGATGTTTTGTCCCGACTCATGATTAGCATCCTTAAATGTGAGACTCTCCTGTGTCCTGGGCACTTTTGGATGTCTGAGTATAAAAAAAACAAAACAAAACAGTGAGCAGGTTAACCAATAGGAAAAACAGTTTGTGCTCATGAAAATATGTCTATATTTTAAGGCCAAGCTTTGCTTTATCTCTAAAACACAAGATATCTCATGTGTCTTAAAACCTTTAAAAAGACTCACTGCAGTGAAAAAGAGAGGTTCCTTACTTGTGCTTTGCTGGAATTTGAGAAACTGAACTCGGAGTATTTCCTCTTTCGAGGTGCACAAAAACGAGACAGAATGTTTGCATATTCCTCTCTCACCTGGAATCAGAATGAAAATTGAGTTCTGGTGTCTGAAAGTAGCAGAGCAAGTATCATTTTCAATAACATCATCTAAACCAACCTGTTTAGAAAACAGACAATGCATGACAAAGAGCATAACTCCCTGAAAGCTGCCAAATATTGTGAACAAATAAGACATGGCTATGGTGCCACTCTCAAACTGGAAACATCCGAAGATCCACATGATGCCCAGAATGCACATCTGAGCCACTGCAGTAATGATGAATGCCCTGCAGGGGGCGACAAATGACCACAGATCAATTTTAGGGCATTTAAATGCAACATTTTATGCAACTTGTGTTGAGAAGGTGGTCACACTTTTTAATTTGTAGTATAGGGCAACAAAAAGCTCCTACCAACCTCCACTCCTCAGCCCACATATAAAAATACGATTTGCATTTATTGCAATATTTAATGTGGTTTTGATTAATGCAACAAGTTTATGGGTCAGCAACAACTTACTTTATTTTCTGCAAACTGTCCAGATCAGGGTTCAAGCTTGAAAACTTCAGTGTCAGTTTCCATGCAGTGATGAGAAAGAAGATAATATTTACCTAGAAGAGAACAGCTCGTGGTTTTAAAAAGGAATAGGGTTGAGTAACAAGATATTATTTAAGTAAAATATCTATTCTTAAAATCTTACAGTGATGATGACACATGCAGGACCAAAGAAACTCCAAATGGAATCCAGGTTTAGCCAACAACTAAAATGTTTAAACATATTTTTGTGAATAATTTATTGAGATCCAAGAGTTAATTATTAAAGGAAAAAAATGAATATGAACAATAGCTAACGTAACACAGGAAACTTACTATCTCTTAGTGCCATATCCCTTAGCATTAACCAATGCAGAGACAGCAACGATCACAGCCGGGACTCCATAGCCACCTGCCATCATGTAGACTGTTTTATAGTTGGTGTTAAAGACCAGTATTACCATCCTGAAGAGCTGTACACCTTCCAGACACATCCAGCAAAATGCTGCCAGGTAGAAGAAATGCAACATCCCTGCTACAACTGCACATCCAACCTAAAAAGGAGAAAGATGAATATCACCTTGCTGACTGTGAAAACTTTATTTATGGGATAATCAAACAAGTAAAAAAGAGAAAGGACTGCTTCATGAGACAATTTCTACCACTTGCATTAATTATTCAGCTGCACTTTGATTTGATATGTATGCCTCTGTAGTGTTTGTAAGTAGTTGAGCCATTTAATGACATGTTGGCACACAGCTGTTGTAGTATTTACCTTGTTCTCTGTTTGTGTGATGCCTGCAAGAAAGATAATGATAGCGATGGAGAGGCTGATACAGAGGTGCAGGTGGATGGTAGTTCTTGGGCTTTGGATGGAACGGATCATTGAGAACGTCAAGATGCACATGAACAAACAAATTAGTGAAAGAGACAGGCCCACCCAGGTGATCAGCTGCAGCTCAAAATGGTCCTGATGAGAGAAATAATTCTTCTGTCAGCACATATGGACTGGAGAATAAACATTATGATGTGGAATGTAGGCACAACATTCATCACTGAAGCATTAAAAAAAAAAAGTTCACCTCTATTTCATAGAGGGCCATAAGCACAGCAAAGCTGCTCAGGTGGTTACAGGAACACACTGTGAATTTTGGGTTCGACTCTGCAACACTGCAACCTCGAGGTGACCACGCCCCCCCATCCTCTGAAGAGTCCCAGAACACGCAGGTGTGGGAGGTTTCATTTGACTGTAAAACAAATTAATACACCGATCAAAGGAGCTAATTTAGGTTAATATCATTAAAAGCTTATTACAGTGAAATCAAATGGAGCACGCTGTCTTCTTTACCTGATTAAGGTGGTACAAAGTTATTTTGACCGGCTCTTTGAGATGATTTGTGTCTGTATTACTGACGGTGACAGTCACAACTTTGGAGTTTATCTTAAAGATCTGGTTCTCCTCTTTTTTCATCCCACCAAAGAAGCCATCTGCAGATTCTTCCAGGTTTGAATAACTTATCAAGGATGCCACAGTAAACCCTTTAACACCAGGATTACATCGGGTTAGTGTTTAAATTCAAAGTGGTACATTTAAAATATACTAATTAAAGACATCATCATTACCAGGGTATTGGGAGAGATTTCCAGCAGCTACCTCCATCTTGATGTCCAGTTGAGCGTGATTTGAAGATAAAGTCTTTGTTTCTTGAGGGTTGACTGAGCCAGTATGTGCCAGTAGCTCCAGTTCTGGTGGTGGTGAAAATTTTAATGGACATACAACAGTAGAATGTGCAGAATCAGTAGTTCCATGTATTAAAGTGAAATTTATCATTATAGATGCACATAGCACTGTGCAGAAGCAGATTGTTTTATTTCTGGACAAAATACAGTCTAAACTGTGCATATTTTTATTTTTTAAATCAGCTTATGTCAACTAATATACATTGGTTTTCTGTTTAACCTGTGTGAGATGAGGTCATTCTGGTCCCAGGGGCTGTTACAAAAGGTCCAATGAGCCTCAGAGCTTGCTCCACCAAGTCCAGAAAGGTGGAGACTTTCCTGTTATCATTCAGAGCTCTAGACAAAAGCTTGTCGATCATCGACTGCATAATCTAAAGCCAGAGCAGGAGAGAACAGAGAACTACATGAGTGTCGGAGACAAGGAAATAAACAGAGAAAGACCAGAATTCCACTGCTTCATCAATCTACAAGTTTGGGCAGCAAATATCTAAACACAGAGCGGACAGAGCTCGAAGGTTGTGGATCTTTCCCTTTCTGTAAAAGTTGGAGGAATTTTAAACTTTGTTTCTTTTTTTCAAAAAGAAAAGACATGGGTTCTATTAATCACTTGTACCTTTAGAAAGCTCTTTCCATCCAGCTCCCTTGGATCCTTGCCCTCGGTCTGCTCCAGACAACCTTTCCTCAGTTGCGTCACATGATCTTCTACAATGCTGAATGTCTGAGAAAAAGATTTGGGAAAGATGAAAACGAAGTGCGCGACTGCAGATGTGAAAAATATGGGCGTTAAAACGTAGTCTGATCGGGATTTACCTCTACCAGATCTTTTGCTTTGTTAAAAACACCACAATCCATATCTTGAAAAACAGAAAAGACATTTTAAAATGTATTCTTTTAAAATCAATATTCTCTTTTTATTCAATGCAAACACCGATTTTATAACAGCAGGTGAGCGGTGATCCGTATTTACCAATGCAGCGAGACATCTTGTTGCCATAGTTAGTAAAACATGTACAGTAATATCCACTGTCTCCAGTGTGACAGGTTCCATTTCCACAGATTGTCTTATCAAGCTTACACAGGTCTGCAAGGGAAACAAATCAAGAACAAGTTGTAGTCTCATTTAATAAATATCTTTACGGTGATAAATATTCTGGATGATTGATATGTCACGTTTAAAACAGTAAGAAACACTGATGGCAAAAAATATTAAATATGCACGAGATGATTATATATGTAGTGGCACAGCTGTCGCCTCTTTGCCGGATCAAATCCCAGCCTGGACCTTTCCGGGTGCAGTTTGCATGTTATGTGGGTTTCCTCCCCCGAGACAAAAACCTACGTTAGCCTAATTCATAACTATCCCTAGGTGAGAATGTGATTGGTCATTTGTCTCTACGTGTCCATGTGATGGACTTGCGACGTGTCCAGAGTGTACCCTGCCTCTCGCACAGTGACTGCTGGATATGGGCACCACTGCACCAGCAATCCAGAAAGGATATACGGGTAGAGATAATGAATGGATGGATTATATATGTGCAAAACTTCATATCAAAACTCTCACCTTCACATTGTTCCACTTTTCCAGTGTAATTATGTTTGCCAGATTTCAGTCTAAAGCCAGGTTTGCACACACAATTATAACTGCCTTTTGTGTTCTTGCATGTTGAATTCAGACCACAAACTGTTTCCTCTGTACATTCATCTTTATCTGTAAGAGAAGGAAAATGACATATAAAAATACTCGAGGAAGCAAACTAATACTCAGTTTCCTTAAATGGAAACAAAAGCATAGAAAACACTGAACGTCCTGTTACCTCTGCATGTAACATTATCACTTTTAGTAAAAAATTTCACTTCGGCAGAAGAGACGAATCCTTCTTTACAAGAGCACTTGTAATGGGGAACTGCATTGGTACAAATGGCATGAGGTCCACAGATGTCTTTCGGTTCTTTACATTCATCTATATCTTTAAAGAAGAAAAAAATGTATTCATGTTTAAGTAATGATTAAGAGAAAAAAAGTTTTTGACATTACTTAAATAAACAACTCACCTATACAGTTTGCATTTGAAACAGCTGTAAAATTCACCCCATTTGTTGATTTATAACCGTCTTTACACTGGCAGTAGTAGCTTCCAATTGTGTTAAAACATTGAGCATTTTTTCCACATATATCCTCTTGAACAACACATTCATCGAGATCTTTATAAAAGAAAAAGGATTGTGATCGAGCATGAATAGGAATAAACATAATTTTTAAAATTATGTGTAAAAAAAATGAGGAAAAATGATCGATTCTTAGAACATAATTTAACATCACATCTTATGTATTCAGCATTTGAATTTTCTAACAAGTTAAAAAAACAAAGACAGATTTTATATGACTGGTAATTTACTTTTCGTACCAACACATCTTGACTCGAGCTTAGTAAACCCTACGGGGCATAATTGTGCGTTTTGGACCATGAAAGTAGACACGAGCCAAACTGAAAAACAGAATAGTGTTGTTAGTGTATCTTAGTACTCTTGATAATCACATAAAACCTTTTGTCATATGCTGCAGTACGTTTGTGTTCCAAGACAATTAAAAGATTAAATTGACAAAATTATTCAAGCCAGAGTTAGGCTGATGTTTAAAAAGTTCCTGCTGAAAATGCAAAGCCACATTTTTTTTTGGTCTTTATTTCCTCAGATTGTTCCACCACCACCTGCAGTCATTCAAAATGATCCACACATTTGTGTCTGGTGAATGTGGTTTCCTATGTGTGAGGAAACATCGGCTAACACAGAATAACACGTCAAGCCTTTAAAAGCATAAAATCAGTTATCAGGTTTCCTGATGAAACAGATGGGTGTAATACACAGTATTCAATTGTAAAGACATACTTTTATGTTTATTGACTGACTTCAGAATAAATCTTATAATTAAGAATGTATGTATTTTTAAGTAACACTTTTATTACTCTATTTTTACTGTTAGTGTTTCCTTTTTGGGAAACAAGATGCTTTAAAAAAACAACTATGGAACATTTTAATGTTTCTGGAGAACTTTACCATTTTTCCATTTAAGGCTAAATTAAATTACATGTATTTAAAACCTAAATGACATAAAAAACAACAATGATTTTAGATTAACACAAAGCTGATAATAGTACAACATACTGGACTGTATGTTGTTGCTATGACAGTGAAGAGGAAACTAATAGACTCTTATAAAACCACTAAGAAAATGTGTAATGGTTTTCAGAATTCATAAGGTGTTAGTGTTGTTACTAAGAGCAATGGAAACAGTCCTTTTCCTGAGCTTAGCTGGTTGGTAAATGTGGTCACATATGGAGAAGTAATATGAATACTGAGAGATGAGCTCATAATGTTTAAATATATCACTTGAAGAAAGGTTCTCTGTTTGCCGTCACCCTCACAGCTTTTTTTTTTTTTTAAAGAAAAGCTGCAGTGTTCACTCTTTTTTTTTTTTTTGTTCTTGTAGTTTGAATTCTTTCCCAGGCTTTTCCCTTGACAGAACTGTGAATATTTTAACATTTTATCACATTTACCAGTGTAACTACATTTGATTGCTAACTGCTTCTCCATAGAAAGTTAGTAAGGAAAGTGAAGCAGAAAATCTGAAGCAGACACAGTTTGCAATTTGATTGGTTTTTTTTTAGACACTAGTTTACTTTTAGTAAATGTTTCCTGGATGTCTACACAAAACATTACCACATACAGTATATTTCTAAGTTAGTGGGTTTCTTAATCTATTGCTTCCTGAGTAAAACTGTAGTTTTAAAACAACATATCTTAAACAGATGACTTTCCATTCAAGCTACTGTGCAAATGGATGACAGATGTGACTCACCCAGTATTAGGAAGGTCCACTTGCCTGCCATGATGAAAACACAAAGAATGTCCAAATCTGTATTTTAAAAGTTGAAACAACTTGAGAATTAGTCACATTCAGATGGTCTGGTGCTCTCCCTCCCCACTCTCTAAGTTTTCAGTTTCCCAGTAACTAAACAAACAAAACAAAAACTAAACTGGAAATAGACAAATTAAAACTCTGAAAACTAAATGGAAAATAAATTTCTGCATTTAAGAGCAGTCTTACAAAATGTTGTAACTGTATCAATGTTCTATTGAACAAAGCTGCCTGTTCTTGTAGCTTCCCTTCCTCACTGTCTCTCTATTTTTCTAATGTTAGTCTGTTCTCATTTCAGCTGATGTGTTAGAGAATTACAACTTTAGTTGGGTTTTCCTCTCTCTCTCTCTCTCTCTCTCTCTCTCTCTCAATCTCTGACTCTGAGTTTTTTTTTTTCTGTACAAGCAGCAAGTTTTCAGGAACTAATATCCGTGTTGGGGTGGGGTGACAGAGTGGAAGTTATGACAGCTCTCTGACAGAAAAACATCAGTAGTGTTTTTACACAGGTAATTCTTATCATTTCTCTTTTGGTACGTTGTCCTTCTTTCACTCATCTGCCTGCTTTGTTTGATTGAAATTATGGGACATCCAGGGTTAAACTGCGCTTAGACTTTCAAAAGTGTTCATTGTTCCAAAGAGTCCCACTGGTTGATTTGCTCTCACAAAGCAGTGAAGCCAGCTGAGTATGACGATGACACATATATAGCTTTTGCCTTTTGACTGTTTCAGAATAAGACAATGTAACAATAGGACCAATGTTAGACTTAATTTAGAAATAAAACGCTAAACAAAGGATTTATGCAGTCTTCTGTTTTCTCAACACAGCGATTATTTTGCACTCTTTGTAATGGAAAATTTTAGCACACCAAGCACTTTAAGGCGCCTGTTACTGATAATGAAATCAAAAAAGTGTTTGCACACTCTCGCATTAAGTTCAAGCTTTAGATTACTATTTGTTATTATGTCCAGTGATCACTGCATGAGCTAGGCCCGAGGCCCGATGGGTCAGTTCAGATACAAAATAAGTGGATTACAAATGATCTCTATATCACTCTGCACGCTGATGGTTTTATGAAGATCTGTGCAGAATTAGAACAATAAAAATAAAATAAAGATGTAAGTGCTTATGAGTGAAAAACTTGAAATATTTACCATATTTTCTCTTTGCTAATAGCCACAAAGGCTAGTGTTTGGATGAATTCTTTGCCCAGAGATTGCTGGGTGGTTTTAAAAACATTTCACACAATAAAAACAATGAGGTAGATTTTGGGCTTTGTCCTTGTAAGAAAATGAAGATGACAGATAGCTGATCTTTAGAGGCTGGTGGAGAACAACATACGAGACCCACAGAGGAAACTTAACCCCCC